TACATAAATATAGTTGATAATTGTTCGGTTCCACGTAAGTGATTGGTCTCCAGAACGGATTGGTATTCTGGAAGAAAATAGACATAGTGTAGCCATCTTGTGTACGGAAAGGTATGAAAACAAAAAAATCCTTTTTTATAATGTATATATGTAAGAGTGTAAACTTGCTAGAAGTTGGACTCATTGTCAAACCCGCGCTTTTCGAACGGGAAGTTTAGTACTAACGTGATTTGCATTTATCAAACTTTTGCTGTGTTCTTACGCAACAAAAGTACCATTTCAGTTCTAAGGAATCTATCCTGAGCTATACGTTCGGTAGATTACTTTTTTTTTTTGAGTTTCACCATATTTAATAGTTACCTGTGGTTTTGCCTCAGTTTACTATTCGGTTTGTTTTTGTTTTTCACGTATAGACTAGTTTCAGTTTATAACACTCGTTTTATCCATTTTTGTCCGTTTTCAGTGTGCTTTTTAGTGTTTTTTAAAGGTCTTAGGCTCTTGCAAGCATCTATAACATAGTTTGCTTCAACATAGTCATGAAAAACTCATGCAAACGTCCGGGATGCCGTTTTGCTGTTGCAACTGGCATGCAGTGCGACACCTGCAAAGGTTGGTTCCACGAAGCATGCACAGATCTGACATCAACTGCTTACAACAGACTCAGCAAGTCAGACCAAAAATGGGTATGTGTCACGTGCAGCACGGATGCTGTAGTTTTGCTGAGTAACATCATTGTCCTACTGACAGGTCTTCGGAACAAGTTGTCAGTTAACTTGGACAACGACAATACGAAAACCGGTAGACAAACAAGAGCGTGCGACGGACACAAAAACAGGGCTGTCGATAGGTATACCATCGATGGAACATCCATCAACACTAATGATGACGTGTCGAGGCTCAGCACCATCATTACGTCGAAGGTATTAGACTCCCTAAGCAAACTCGGGTCTCCCAGCTCAGGGTCCCTGAACTCAACAGTGGTTCCCAAAAACCCTGTAGATGATTCGACCCAAGTTAAGAAAGCCCAAAAGAACCAGGCATCACCGCCTAAGCCGAGCAACCCAAGTGTTGCTGTACGGAAATTAACTGGTGATTTGGTAGCACAGTCTACTCCCAAGACTGTTCGTCCGGTCAAAAAAGAGCTCAAGCCTCATAAACGCACACTGACCTCCAAACAGCAAGTCATTAAACACGAACCCGCCGTGAAACCTAGTAAATTAACAACAGTTCGTGACGACTCTCTCATTATCATGAACCTCGTTGATAATCCTGACCTTCCTCTCAGTCTGCAGGACAAAAACGACAGGATGCTTTGGGGCGAATTGAACAAGAAGCTAGAACTTCCTAGAATAGAGCCTTTGATGGTCACCCGGCTCTCTAGAGGAAAGGACTCTAAGCATCTAAATCACCCAAGGCTTCTCCGAGTATCGTTTAAGAATACTACTGATGTTGAGGACGTCTTACTAGCAAGTCACTTGCTGAAATCAGATGGTAACGTAAGAATATTGCCCGATATACCGTTCTCTGAGCGCAATATCATACGTAACATCCCTAAAGAATCTCGTGAGAAGTTTTTCCGCGGAAGAAACATAATTGTGCAAGGTATACCGGAGAATACAGACCCTACTCAATCAAATTCTGACATCAGGGAATGGAAATTCATCAAACAGTCCTTGAGGCTCAAACACATACTGACTCAGCATGTGACGAGATTAGCCAAGAAGGACGGTGATCTTAGACCTCGTCTAATGAAGATAACCTTCCCATCTTCCCACATGGCGGCTGCAGTTCTGGAAGCATTTCGTGCCAACAGACGTCGATTGCCACCTGGAATCCACATGCACCCGGACAGGCCATACGAAGCCAGGACCAAGTACAAAGGCAAGTTGGAGCTGACCATTCCACTTGTGGATTGTCTAAACGATAAAAAAAACGTGTAAAGGACAGGGCCTACCACCTCGGTAAACCTCACATGGGTGGGCTACCTGTCCATTCACACAAGGCTCATACAGAAAAACAGGACGAAGCTCATGCGTTCCAAATTGAAAGCATAAACTGCTTATACACGAACGCCTCGAGTCTACCAAACAAACTGGACGAATTACGTGAACTTTGCAACGCTAATAAGGCCCACCTGATAGGAATATCTGAAACCTGGATATCTTCTCAGTTCTCGGACCAAGAGTTAGCATTACCAGGGATGACTTTGTTCCGCAACGACAGAACAACAGGAATTGGGGGTGGAGTAGCCATATACATAAGCTCTTGCTTGGAGGTGCACCAAGTTCACAACCTCGAGTTTAACAATCTTGAGGAATCCATATGGTGTTCTGTAAGATTGTCTAGCACTTCGAGGTGTCTAGTCGGTGTCATTTACAGGAAGCCAACTGCTGACATCGAGTACGATAGTCGTATGCTGGATGGTCTATCCCGCTCTACCCGTCTCGGTTTCACACATATCCTGATTCTAGGGGACTTTAACCTTCCTAGAGTCAACTTCGTGGAACACACGTATACTGGAGGTGACAACTCAATTGAAGCTCGGTTCTTCAACCTCATTGATGACTTGGGCTTATATGAAAATGTGAGGTCGGCAACTCGTTGGAGAAACAGTCAGACACCATCGCGGTTAGACTGTGTATTCACAAACGAAGAATTCCTAGTTGACAACCTCTCAATCTTGGCTCCTCTGGGAAAGAGCGATCATGCCGTCATAGCCTTCAGTTTTGTCACCAAAACTAAGCTAAGGTATCCCAACAATAACTTGCGTTGGAATTTTAAACGGCTGAATGTGCCAGCTCTACACGACTATTTACAACAGGTGGTTTGGGATGTTCACCCCCAACTCGATGTGGACGGTCACTGGAACTTCTTACTGCACACGCTCTTATGTGCTACAAACCATTCAGTTCCCCAAACGGTTCCCAAAAGCTGTAAGCCACCTACAATAATCAAGAACCGTACCCTTCGCCTGCTAAGCCGTAAAAGACACTGTTGGGCGGAATACAAACGAACTGACAACGACGGAGCGTATAGGCAATTCAAACATATCAGGAACATATGCACGAAGGCTATAAGAGAAGACAGGCTTCATTATCAGACAAAGCTTATGGACAAATTTGCCTCGAACCCTAGAAGCCTATTCCGTTATGCAGCCTCTCTTCGTCAAGCCAAAACAGGAGTTTCTCAACTGTTAGGTCTTAATGGCCCAACCAACAACGATGGTGACGCCGCTAACCTTCTGGCGCTACACTACTCTCAAACATTTCAGCCGGCTGACATCAACTCTATTGACGACAGTTTCACCTGTAATTCCACAGGGCTTTCCGAAGTGGACCTAAGCGCTGACTTGGTGTTCCGGAAACTGCAGCACTTAAGACTAGATACTTCTCCTGGCCCGGATATGGTTCATTCTGCCATACTGAAGGAGGCAGCCTCAATCCTGGCAACGCCGCTTAGCGTGATGTTTTCACACTCGCTAAGCCAAGGCAAATTACCGGAAAATTGGAAGTTGGCTCACATCACACCAATTTTCAAAGGGGGTCGACGCAATGAACCTTCAAGTTATCGGCCTGTGGCTCTTCTGTCATTAATTTCAAAACTCATGGAGTCCCTGATATGCGATGGTTTAAACGATTATCTACTGTCCTTAAACTTCTTCTCACCCCAACAGCATGGTTTCAGGAAGGGTTACTCTTGTATAACCAACCTGCTGACTGCGGTGGACAGATGGACAAGCATCCTCGATCGCAAGGGAAAGGTTGATATCATATACCTTGACTTCTCAAAAGCTTTTGATAAAGTTAACCACTTGTGTCTTATCAACAAGCTCAAACGACTAGGTATCAAACCACCTCTAATTGATTGGCTTACTTCATACCTAGAAAATCGACACTTTAAGGTTAGGGTTAATTTCACTTTATCTCAGGCTATGGAATGTCCTAGTGGGGTTCCCCAGGGCTCAGTATTAGGGCCTCTCCTCTTCTTGATCTACATAAACGATCTTCCTCAACAGGTAACGTCAGACTTACTACTTTTTGCCGATGACGTGAAACTTTGGAGAGAGATATGCAACCAAGACGATACACAGGCACTTCAGGAGGACCTGACTCGACTTCAAAGTTGGGCAGACGATAACGGACTTACGTTTAACACTTCAAAGTGTAAAGTAGTCCATCTGCGACATGTCGCAGACTACAGTTATAACTTAAGAAATTCCTCTCTAGTAGTATCCCAAGTCGAAAAAGATTTAGGAGTCCTGGTGCCCCATGATTTAAAGTCTTACGCTAATTGTGACAAAAATGCCTTCCGAGCTAACCTTGCACTGGTAACATTGAAGCGCATTTTTGGCCAGTTTGACGGAAGAACTTTCCATACAATCTTCAATAGTTTTATCCGTCCCCATTTAGAGTACGGAAATATAGTACTCCCCCCCTCACTCCAAAAGGACAAGACCACTTTGGAGCGTATCCAACGGCGAGCCACGAAATCAGTTCGCGGACTCAAATCTAAGCCTTACGAAGAACGCCTCCATTCACTAGACCTTTACCCATTAGAGTATAGGCGTCTTAGAGGTGATTTATTAATGGCTTATAGTATTCTTAACACTTCTGGACATCCTCTTAAACACCTACTCAAGCTTAGTTCGAATAACAACCTAAGGGGTAACACCCAGAAACTGGAAACTCAATATAGCAAGACGGGATGTAGACACAACTTCTACTCCTTAAGAGTTGTCAAAAGCTGGAATTCGCTGCCCGCTGAGCTAGTCCAAGCGACTTCTCAGGAGTCCTTCAAGAGGCAACTTGACCTATTCTTAAGGACCAAAGACAGTATCATACTATGATTTACCAATTTCTTTTCATCTTTTATTGTTAACATACCTAGGTTCCTGCCTGGAGGATTTGGTGATCCCCTGCTACTAGACACGGAAGCCTGTTAAGCGAAAGCTTCTTCTATTCCGTCCACAACCATTTGAACCATTTGAACCATTTGAAATGTGTGACCTTGAGACTGTGACGACCGCCTTTTATAACCAGGTACGTAAGTTGTGTTTAAAATTAGGTATGTGGAATCAATGCGGCTAACATAGTAACCTTACAGTAACGCACTGTACTATGTCTCCACGGTTATTGATTCTTAAATGTCAGAATTTAAAAAAATCTGAATATTGCCAATAAAAATGGGTTATATGATCACACTAAAAAGCATGCTGCAGGAAAACTGGTTAAGTCATTACATAAGTTTCCTAAACATGAAAAAAAAATGATGAAAACTTTAATAAGTACTTGGCCATGGTTTAATCCAAAATGTTTTGTCTAGAAAACCACTTATTAATAGTAGTATTAATCGTATCAAGCTACTAAACATATCTTCGACCGAAAACTTTTAGAAGTAGTTCATATGGTATATATGTATAGCCAGTCTACGTGAAAAATGTATGTAGATATTATAAGGAGTACAGCCAACATAGTTAATTAACCAGAAAAAGAAATTATACAACTCGCCTGGGTTGCTTTTTGAATTCGTTGTATTTGCCAGTGTTAGTTGTATGAGTTTGATTAAAATCCTCAGCCATCGTTTCGGAATACCTAGCTTATGTGTCCAGTATTAAAAAAAATATTTAATATAACACTCCAGAATTATCCGGATATCACTGCATCAGGAGTGACAGACATAGATGTAGGAAAGGAGGTGGCGTCCTGTTATACATAGCTAATAGCATAAATATCCGCTCCTCTACTAGAGATTCCCATGATAGCGGTACTTGTGAAGTCATTAGCTGTAAGTTGGCTATCGGATGTAGTACATTTATGCTCGGTGTCATCTATCGCAGCCCAATCTGCCTAGCTGATGACTTTGTTTTAGAGCACATTCATCTTTGGAGTGAAAATACCAGATGTTTGATAATAGGAGACTTTAACGCACCTGATATTAGTTGGACTGATATGACCACAGCAGGATCTATAAACTCCTTTGATAGTAAGTTCCTGATAACAATAATGGAGCATGCACTAGTACAGCATGTATCCCAACCCACACGTTTTGGTGTTAACCAGGGTTCTTCTCTGCTGGATTTGGTAATCACTCATGAGACTGAGGATATTGTCGACTTCAATATTCTCCCGCCGTTAGTGAACAGCGACCACGCTGTTTTGTCATTCACGTTTCGTACTAGGGACATGTTATACGATCAGGTTACACCTCGCCCAAATGTATGGAAAGCTAACATATCAGCCATTCAGGAATGTGCTGCTAAGACAAATTGGTTAATAGATGCTAGCATATCAGTTGAAGAAGCATGGTCTGTATTTAAAGGTAAATTTAGACTAGTTACGTCCCCGTTCATACCATACCTGGTACCGCGAAGACCGAATAATAGTCCACCATGGATAACTAAAACGGTCAGGAAACTCCTTAGAAAAAGGAAGAATCACTGGGATATGTTCATCTCTACCGGCTTAGAACAATACAGATCCAGTTATTGTAAGATTAGGAATGCCTGTAAAGCGTTAATAAGTAAGACTAGACTATCATACGAAAAACAATTGGTTAGGGATTCTAGATATAGTCCGAAACGGTTATTCTCGTATATAAAAAGGCGAACTAAGAGAAGTGATGGAATTCCATCACTTTTGATACGAGAAAATCCGTTAATCTTAGCAGACAATGATGCCGAAAAAGCTGAAGCATTATCGGAATACTTTAGTAAAGTGTTTTCTATCGGTAATGAGGAACGACCAATGATTCGTTGCGACCGTGACGGCTCGCTGATGTATCCTGTAGTCATTGAGAAAGATACTGTTTTAAGGCTACTCCAACATCTCAAACCTGATAAGTCCAGTGGTCCTGACGATATTCATCCTAGGATTATGAAAGCCATTTCACATGAAATTGCTGAACCATTAGCGATACTATTCGACATGTCTCTGAGACAGTCCAAACTGCCTAGAGACTGGAAAGACGCCATAATAAGTCCGGTGTATAAGGCTGGGGGTAGGGATTTAGTTAGTAACTATAGACCCGTTAGCTTAACTAGTGCAGTTGTAAAACTGATGGAGAAAATCATTCGGATAGCTGTCATAAACTATGTTGAAGGGCAAAATCTTTTCTCCAGGGCACAACATGGTTTTCGGAAAGGCCTATCTTGCTTGACAAATCTTCTCATTGCACGAGAAGATTGGGCTGCGGCAAAGGATCGGAATACTCCTGTGGATGTGATTTTCATAGATCTAAGTAAAGCCTTTGATAAGGTTTCCCACTCTGGTCTTAAATTCAAACTGAAACGTTTTGGAATCCATTATACAGTCGTCGATTGGATAAGTAACTTTCTCCATGACAGGAGACAAAGGGTAAGGGTTAATGGGACTCTCTCCTCGTGGGTACCTGTAAAAAGTGGGGTTCCCCAAGGTACAATCCTGGGTCCTCTTCTCTTTTTACTTTATGTAAATGAATTGCCAACTGTAGCAAAATCATCCGTTCTACTCTTCGCTGATGACATAAAGATTTGGAGACCCATACATAGTATGTCGGATAGGATAGTATTACAGGACGATCTTAGCTCATTGGTGGCATGGTTAGATAGGTGGTCACTAGAAGTAAATCCTAATAAGAGTGTAGTGATGCAGTTAAATAACTCTGATGAATCGTATGACTATACACTACGTGGATTCGTGCTACCAAAAGTAAGATACTATAAAGATTTAGGAGTCATATTAAGCAATGATCTCAAAACGACTGGTCACTGTAAGGCTGCTGCTGCGAAAGGCTATAGGGTATTATGGTCAATTCGTAGGTCTTTCCAGTATTTAGATGATGAAATGTTTAGATTACTATACCCGATTTATGTGCGACCACATTTAGAATACGGGATTCAAGCAGCGTGTCCTTGTTTCAAATATGAAGCAGATATGCTAGAAAGAGTCCAACGACGAGCTACTAAGATGGTACAAGGTCTATCTGGCCTATCTTATGAAGACAGACTGAGACACCTTAACTTATTTCCGTTATCTTACCGTAGAATAAGGGGTGATCTAATATTGGCCTATCGTATACTGAACGATGACCTTGGTATTAACATGTCTTATCTTTTGCTCCCGTCTAGAACCGATCATTTGAGAGGACATTCGAAGAAAGTTCAAAAACCGAGATCAAACCGTTTACGTCTGGAGTTCCGTTTCTCGCACCGAGTAGTGAATTACTGGAATTCTCTACCGGAACACGTAATATCAGCACCATCTGTTAATATATTCAAAACGAGATTGGACCTCCACTGTATTACAAACTGCAAGGATTAATATAGGTCGACAGACCTCCTATCCTTATTACTGAAGACTGAAGACTTATATATTAAAGGTAAAAGGTCTGGGGAGTTGTAGGTGAGGCGGAATGAGGAAAAAAATTATTTTTAAGTAGATGCAGGGTCTGATTAGCTACGTGGTTAGATTTTATCCTGCAGCCGAAACTGTCAACATCCTTGACTGACTAATTGGATGTGCCCAGCGAACCGTTTTAGTCATTTGTAAAGATTTATCATCTTTACATGTCGATTCCGTAATGGATTTGTCAGTTAAACGATCTAACAATACGTATGGTGGTTCATGATCTAGATAAGCCGGCTTTAGCCTATTAATACTTATTGTGTCGATGTTTCCATGTTTTTCTATCACGAAATATTTAGATTTTCTTGAGACGACTTTGAAAGTACCTTCAAATGGAGGACTGAATGGTGTTTTTACTTTGTCACATCTTATCCAGATGTGCGTGCAATTGCTTAGGTCTTTAGGTACATATACGGCGCGCGATTGTTCGCGAGTATTAATTGGTTTAAGTTTGGACATAGGCACGGACTGGCAGGTAAGCCACGGATTTTCGCGCACACGTTACATGTCGTGGATTTTTTGTGTCGTTATTTACCAGCTATTAACAGGCTTTTTTGCATGACACATGAATTTCTGTATTGCTAGTGCTTGTAACATAGTTTTTATTCCAATTTATTGGCAGTTTGACGTATTTCTTGCTCACCACGTAAGTAAATCTGAAGTTAGCTTAATATAGTTATTTGTAACAATACAAACTCAAGCAAGTAAAGTTAACCGTGTTTCTAGTCAAAAATACATTACAGATTGAGTTTTCATGAAAATGAACCGTAAAATCTTTTACATATGGTTCACCTCCTTGATTGCGGTGACGGTGAACATGGATGTCGGTAGTTGTTTATAAAATGTAAGTAGAAGCAATCAAGCGTTAACCTAATTGTGAATATTATATAACTTGTTTGTATTTAGCCATAAACAGTTATATCCATTAGAGGTACGATTGTTTTGTACTGAAGTGACATAATTATGTAACGTATTTGAGAAATATCATGTGAGTAACAATTGACGTTTATAGTGTTGTGCAGCGGCTTTCTGAACGTCTGCAGTAATAGTGTATAACCCCACATCAAGTAGGAACAAAATCTTCATGAGTAAAACGATCGGTGTTTCTTTTGAGCATGGTGACACAACCAAGGTTTTTAGTTAATACTGATTTGTGACGTGTCTGTTATAGGGTTCACAAATGAGTTATTATAAAGTCTTCACTCCGTCTCCGTAATACAGTTGTTGTGTTTCTTAGGAAGTTATGAATGAATGTCACTACTTGTAAATAAAAGATTTATAGGCACAGTCTGTTACTTGTTATTTGAATAACTTATTGAATATGATACTGAGAACAAAGTTTAATTGTTTGTCTCAAAACGGATTTGTTGTTTTTCAGAATAGTATGAAGCTTATGGAATTTAGGATTACGGAAGATCGTGTGGAAAACCGGTTTACAAGTTTACGATAACTGTTTTATATTGCCTACTGCTATGTTCACTCATCTAATGAATTATTTAAATATAAATATAACAACCATACGCAGTGTTTTACATTATAAATCCTGTAAGTTTGTATAATTATGGTCTAAATAAAGCCAAAACAGAATCATGTGACTGCATTACATTTCGTGGTTTCTCACAAGTTGCATACAACTGAATATGCATTATAATTTAAGATTGAGAGAAGAAATAGTATGAAAGATAATCAAAAGCAAAGAATTGGAATGACCTAGGTTATCAATAATAACTATACATATGTATGTGCTTGAACAGGTCAAAGGTCATTTGGTGTTAGACTTAAGGGAACATAAAGGATGGGTGGTGTAATAGTCCAGTGAAGGTCAGAAGCATATAAGATAAATTGTGTGATAATTCTAGATGTAATGAATAAATTAGCGAATTAAGAACTAATAAGATAAGTGAAGACAATCTGAAGAGTTAACATAATTTAGCAAAGAAGTGAGTGGAAGGGTGGTATAAGGATTACGTAATCCATCTTATCAGGGAACTAGCTGCATGAAATTGTCTACTTCCATACTAATACTAACTTGATAATGGACGTAATCTGACAAGGGAAAATATGTAAGGCGATTGTTTAATCTGTAAGGTTTTACGTGGAAGTCGCATTGTTGTTTTATTTGACTCGTTGATTCATCACAATGAACAACGATATAACGCTAAATTCTAACGACAGTTCGTAACTAATACAGTAGTACAAATTCTTAATTTTCACACACTATTATTCGTTAAAGCGATTGGTAAACCTCCCCATGAAAGTATGAAGAAGACGAAAATAAAAAGTGAGAAAAAGTTTATTGATTTTTCATGACTACTAAAGTTGAAAGATAAGTTTACAAGTTGTATAAATAGTGGTAAAAAATAAAGCCACAAAGAACTGTTAATCGTAAACCTGCTGTTTAGCTGTTTATAATTCTTAAGTAAAAATTGTAGACTTTTCTCTCCACCTGATTCGCGAAGCGTTCACCATATTTCTCAACAATTTGTTGTTTGCACATTCTTTGGAGCCGTTGAAGTTGTATATATTCTTTACTCCGTCTCGGTAATGAAATTGCTGTGTTGTTTTGTAAGTTGTGCGTATTGTCTAATTTCCATCTGCAGCAACACCTAAGAAGTTGATGAGCTATGCAGTTTATATTTTATAATTTAAATAGCTTACCTGTTAGATTTCGTCTTTTAACATATGCCAGTAGGAGATGGCGGCACGGATATCGACACATATTAAACGTGCTACAATTACATTGACAAATACTTAAATCCACTTCGTAATGTTGTCCGCGGTCAACCATAAACAACCACTCGCCGCTTTCATATTCACAGTTAACGAAACGCATTTTTTTAAGTTCATATAACACCTTGCATCTTGCAAACGGAGTTAACATGTTAAGTAAGGGTATAAGTCGCTGTGGAGCATCATAATTGTATGTTCTTCTACTGACTATTTGGTCTTCAATGCTTTTTCTAGAGAATGTCATTGAACTCCACTTAAAAGCCTTGTACATACATTTGTGCAAGCTGTCGCTTTTGCGTACATACCTTTTTATCTGTCTATTTAATGACTCAACACGATTATTCGTGTTGTTACCCAAAGTTAATACACTGCCGTAAAAGGCACGTGCCCACATTGCTTTACGTGGCATCCAGTAACGTGATAGGTACTGGCCTATCACTCTGTCTCTGCGGTTTATTATTCTATAATATTGATTAAATCTAGTGAATAAATACATTAAAAAATTACCTTCCGACCGTTTCTGCGGTTACCAGTCGTGTCAAGTAGGTTTTCAGTATTTTATCAGTTGTCTAAAAGAAATTTTATGTAACCAACCATTGGTGTACCTTTTTCCGGAAAGCGCGAATGACATGAAAGGCGCATAAAATAATGTTTGCATGCCCGGTTTCAAGTTTTCTTTTTCTTCTGCTGACAATCTTCTACTAAACGGATCACAAACCATCCACGAACTAGTACACGGATGGTTGTGAGACATGTTGTAAGATTTTATAACGTATTGTTGACCCTCCAATCTTACGCGAAACATCGATTGGCAATTTAAAAACTTAGACCTTAAACGTAACACATTAGTTAGAGTCCTTACGGTTTTTTATTCACATTCAGACCTGATTTACGTTTACGACCAAACGTGCAACGAAACACTACGAACAAGTATTTATATCTCACATCCTTCAACAATCTACTTTCTGCGTGAACATAGTGTGTATGGGTAACCTGAGAAAACATAGATTTATCCTATCGTACTTTATGGAAATCCTTTAGCGCATTATCGAATTCAATCCAGCTTCCGAATCTCTTGTTCAGCATACGTTGGAACGCGTCGCTTACGTCCACTGAAATTTCACTTGAGCATGAAGCACTAGAGACAACACCCAAAATTTATTAAGAAAAAAGTTATCCCTTGAAAAAAATTAACTGAAGGAAGAACAACAAATATTTAGGACTTACCCTTCAGTTGACATTTCGTCTTAACTCACAAAAACTATGCGTATCTATAACCTTTTACGTTATTTTATCTTTCTTACGTTGTTTTCTGGACCTTATCAACAAATTATATATAGCTGTTGACTTTCACTACAGCACTTAGGACCACAGATCAAGTTTCGAAGGAACGACAGAGCTAAAGTGTGCACTACAAAACAGAAAATACTCAATTAATGCTCTTAGCAGTTATTTAGTGTTTATTATGCATCAAAAGATGACTTATATATGGAAACATTTAATACTCATACGACCCAACACACACACGGCAATTGAAATACGGAATGCCCGCTTCCAGTCAGCGCGTTCAAGGTCGTTGAAACGAAACGGCGGACAGATTTGAAAGGGATTACCGTTTTTACCGTGCCTTGGACATATGGTCCCGTAGTTGATCTACGTAATTTTCTAAATTAAGTTTTTGACTGTTAGTATTAGGGTTAATAAATTCACCTGGTAGTCTCAGAGTTGTTCCGAAAACCAGTTCCGCAGCTGAACATTGTGCGTCAGTTTTGACAGATGTTCGTATTCCCAACATAACTAATGGTAGGAATTCTGTCCACTGATTGGGGTTTGAGTGAGATATCAGGGCATTTTTTAGCTGACGGTGAAAACGTTCTACCATCCCATTAGCCTGAGGATGATATGCAGTGCAGCGTATCCTATTGGAGCCTAGAAGTTTAGCCAAGTTATTAAATAGTTCGGATTCGAATTGCGCTCCTCTATCCGTCGTTATTGTTATGGGTGTACCTAAAATGGTTACCCAGTTTTGCATGAGAACTTTGGCTACTGTTTCCGCTGTGATGTCCGCTATCGGGATGGCTATAGGGAATCTGGTAAATCGATCTATGCATGTAAAAAGATATTTAAAACCATTTGAACGGGGTAAAGGACCTACCAAGTCGATATGCACATGTGCAAAACGTGCATCTGGTTGCGAGAAAACACCTATGGGTGAACTTGTGTGACGATTAATCTTTGATTGTTGGCATGCTGAACACTCTCTAACCCATTTGTGTACATCCTTCTGTAAATTCGGCCATATATATCTGGCATTGATTAGTTTAGTTGAAGCTTTTGCGCCAGACAAAGAATGAAAGTTATTATATATCAACTTTCGCATATTTTTGGGAACGAAAGGTCGCGGCATTGCCTTGGTCGTGTCACAGAAAATTAGAATACCATCGATAGGTGATGGGAACTGTTTTAAATTAAGACTGGAATTGTTTGTTTAAAGTAGGTTTTGTAATTTCAGGTCCTGCTCTTGTTCGTGTCTCAACATCTCGAAGTTTACTGTAGATTGCTGTAGCACGTTCATTTCTAGTCTGGATAAAGCATCTGCCGCCAGATTGTCCTGACCTTTGACATGTCGGATATCGCTTGCGAACTGTGAAATATAGTCAAGGTGTCGGACTTCTCCAGGTGAGTACTTATCGGCTCTCGCTTTTAATGCATTCGTCAGTGGTTTGTGATCCGTAAAGACTATAAATTCCCTACCTTCTAACATGTGTCGGAAGTGTTTAATAGTCAGGTAGATTGCAAGAAGTTCTCGCCCGAAGGTAGAATACCTTGTCTCAGCTGGAGCGAGTCTTTTCGAGAAGAAAGCAATTGGTTTCCAGGCGTTTTTAACCAGTTGGTTAAGGGTACCGCCTAGTGCTTTATCTGAAGCATCCACCATCAAAGCAAGTGGGGAAAGAGAATTCGGATATATCAACGTAGTTGCTTGAGCCAGTTTATCTTTAAGCTGTTTAATAGCTTCGACGGCGTCAGAAGATAGTTTGAATTCTTTTGGTTTTCCTTTAAGTGAATCTGTTAAAGGTTGCATTAATTGTGCAGAACCTGGTATGAATCTGCGATAAAAGTTAATTAGACCTAGAAAACTTCTCATTTGTGTTAGAGAGCTAGGTATCGGGTATTGTTTGATGGTATCCACTTCTTTTTTTATAGGTTTAATCCCTTCTGGGCTTATTGTGTGACCGAGAAATTCTAAAGTTTGAACACCGAAAACACACTTAATTTGATGTATGTTTATTCCATGTTCATTCAATCTTTTCAACACTGCTCGTACATGCTCTTCGTGTGATTGCAAATCGGGGCTGGCAATTAACAAGTCGTCTATATACCCCTGCGCAAATGGCATATCTCGAAGTAGGTTATCTATGAATCTTTGAAATGTCTGTGCCGCATTTCTCAGGCCGAATGGCATGCGTACAAACTCGAATAAGCCAAAGGGTGTTGTAATAGCTGTCTTGGGGATATCTTCATCAGCCACCGGGATATTGTGATATGCCCTGACTAAGTCAATTTTAGTGAATATGTTCATACACTGTAAACCGTTTGTGAAATCTTGGATATGCGGTATTGGGTACCTATCTGGTACGGTTTGACGGTTGAGGGCTCTGTAATCCCCACACGGTCGCCAGTCACCTTCATTCTTCTTTGGGACCATATGCAAAGGGGATGCCCATTGACTATCAGAGGGACAGATAATACCCAGTTGTAGCATATAATCAAACTCGGCCCTAGCGATTTTAAGCTTATCTGGTGCTAGTCTCCTGGGTTTTGCAAACACCGGTGCACCTTCGGTTTTGATAGTGTGACTTACTTTTAGTCTGTCTTTGGAAGGCTGTGGGTTTGGTTTAGTTAAGTTTGGAAATTCCGCGAGTATATCTTGAAATTTTGCTGTTGTTACTGGAGGGGTTTGAATCAAGTTAAGAGAGCTGATGTGACTTTCTTTGCCTTTTGTGTAAAACGAAGTTTCTTTTAGTGTTAATCGCCGTTTCTTGGTGTCAACTAGAAATTCGTATCTCTCTAGAAAGTCCATCCTCAGTATTGTCAGATCTAAGTCGGCTACCGTGAAAACCCAAGGGAATTGCCTTCTGAACCCCAAATCTAGGGTTAACGTTTTCTGCCCAAATGTCGCGATTGCAGTTTTATTTGCAGCTTGAGGTGTAATCGGGGATGTTTCTCGACTAATCTCAGTTTTATTTCGAGGGATGATGCTAAGAACAGCGCCAGTATCCACCAAGAAATTCAAGCCCGAGTTTCTGTCTCTGACATAAAACAAGCGACTGTTTAGGCGCCCCTCCTCAGTTGTCGCAACCTGGGGAGGGGTTACTCGTTTCCCGCTGTCTTGGAATTATGCTTAGGCCAGGCGCATGGTTGCCTGCACTTGGTTGAGTTGACACCAAACTTCCAGTGGTACCAACAAAACTGCCCAGATTGTCTGGACATTTGTGACCTATTTTGTGACTTGGATCATGATCGTTGTGGTGACCTGCCCCTGTGTGTATGACCCATTTGCATTCTGGTGACAGCCTCAGTGAGACTCTTAACATTCGCAATGAGTCCTTCTATGACGGGGTCTTTTGCTGATTCTACTTTTTGTGTGTGATTTATTGTGCCTGATCCAGTTGGAGGACCTCTTTCCATTCTTCTATCAGCTATACGCGCTAAATGAGATAATGAGGTTTCGGGATCTTGTGCATCCAAACAGTGTTGGACGTAGCATGGGAGAGCTTGTATCCATCCTTGTTTTAGGACTGCTTCACCCACTGTGTTATCACCCACTAAGACTTGGAGGTGACGTAGAAACTGTGAAGGCGACCGATCACCTAGTGTTTCACCTTGAAAAAGTTTTTGGATTCTTTGACTATCTGATAATGATAAACGGTTCATTATCTCTCGTCTTAAGATGGTGTACGGTTGTGGTGATGGTGGATCTAAAATTAAGTCACGGACTTCTTTGGCGACTGATGGAGGAAGGATAGAACACAAATCTCTTCAGATTTGATATTGTGTCTCGTGAAATAATGCTCTAGTTGAGCAAACCACAACTCAGGGTCACTACGATCAAATTCTGGAAGTCGAGATTTCGTAGTCATAACAGTGTCTATCTCCACTGGTGACAAATCCTCCAGATTATGGGTTTCTTTTAAGTCTGACATGAGGTATGTGACAAATATAGCAATAAAATTAGCACGAAAAAATAGTTTCTATAACACGAATAACTTAAGATAATAAAAAAATAAACTATTTATATACCCAACTTAGTTTACGGATAATCAGGTCTACTTTTACGATTGAGTAAAAAAATAATATTAATAACAAAAATGAGGTTAATTTGTGTTCAAAAAGGGCTCACCAGTTTCGTGCCTACAGGTAACCCTCGTACTATTGATAGAAGAAGCCAAACAAGAAGTGGATAGGTCTTTATTTCGATCTTAGCGCAGTCACAGTGGAGCGTGGGATTATCTGTTCAGACAAACAAAGGCTTTCAACATTCAATATAAGATGATAAGGAATATAACGCTTATACAAAATAAGGAAGTGAATGAATACTTGAACAATACTGTTTTGGCATATGCTTGGTTGTTTAAGGTCAACTCTTAACCAACCAACCTATGCTGTTACAAATACACCTAGGTTCCTGTCTTGAGGTATTTGTGATCCTCTGCTGCTAGACACAGAAGCCCGTTAAGCAAAAGCTTTTTGTTTTCCGTCCACAACCATATCAACCATTTATGTAGAATGAGCTGATGTAAGACAGTTTCGCGAATCTAAGGGAAATACTTAATAATCATTTGACGAACCTCAATGGACAGTAACCTGATGAACACAACAATGAAACACTTTCGAGACAACATTCTGTGGAGAGACATTTCTGCTAATTAACGATCGAAGAATATAAATCCAGTCATTTCACAAATCACGGAGATTCTTGTACTGAATAGCGCTTAAGAATATTTACTAAATCGAAAACATAGTGCTAAATCACAACAGGTAGTTCGTGGATGACCTTGCACTTTCAGGTCTCTCACCGCATAGCACAGCACAATCCCACCAAATACTACAACATAGTGTGCTCATTTATTTTGACATATCTCACACATTTTATAAAGCATCCAAACGTATTTTGTATTAGAATTTGCATCATACTGAAATCCAAGTTGGCTTATTCACACAGCTCTCATCATTCATAGATGAAGACGATGAAGATGTCGAGGGGTGAGAAGAAGTAGGCCAGGCGCATGGTTGCCTGCACTTGGTTGAGTTGACACCAAACTTCCAGTGGTACCAACAAAACTGCCCAGATTGTCTGGACATTTGTGACCTATTTTGTGACTTGGATCATGATCGTTGTGGTGACCTGCCCCTGTGTGTATGACCCATTTGCATTCTGGTGACAGCCTCAGTGAGACTCTTAACATTCGCAATGAGTCCTTCTATGACGGGGTCTTT